TTTAGGCAGATTATTTAGCACGGCCTTCGTCGCTGGTCGATTTTACTCGCAGTTCTGTTAAGGTACCTGTGTATCAATAAAACCACTGTGTGTGCGTGCGACTGCGTGACAGGAAATTCATTTCGCTTTTCGGATTATATCACGTTGGAATGGCCATTAACAGAATTTTGAAACATTAAAGCACAGGAAGACACTCGCTGATATTTCGCATGCTCTGGACAGCTTAACTCGACTTACACTCCCTCCTCCTAGGATCACTATACGCAAGTCCTTTACGAGTGAAATTGTGAAACACATTGGCGTCCGGAACATTATGTCATTTTTTTCTTGGGAACACCTTGATAAGTTCTCTTTAGTTACCAAATGTATTGATCTTACCTCACCGCCTTCCCATCAAAAGTCAAAATCAACCTACGGCAAACGGACTCTTGTGTGATCGTCTACCGTAAAAACCTTCCAGAAGTGGACGCCATCTACGTGTACGCGTTAACGTGGATGTATCGAATTAGGACGCTATGCAACCCGCCCGAGTCAAGCCGGTTGATGCTTTCAACAGACGGCCTCACGATAACGTACTTATGGACCCAAACATGTCGGCGGAACACCCCGACCTTTCACACCTCACGCCCGAGGAAAGACGTATTATTGAGGACGTTATGAGCAGACAACGACAGGAGGAACTGCAGAATGAACAAGCAGTTAAGTGAGTCAACACATTCTCTTCAATTATTTGTTTAATTATGCTTCTTAGCCCTATACTACTTTTCATTTTGGCGTTCGGACTTAATCTCTCGAATTCCTCAGATTTGATAGCAACTTTCCATCTTTATCACAAAATTAGCTTTACATTTTATTTAAAACCGGTTCGAACCGTCTAGAGCTGAAGTTATGCTTTATATATCCTACTTTAGGGCACGAATGCAGTTATCTGTTAAGGAATGGTTTTATGTTATGAGTTTTTTTTAAATCACGCCAAACATTTTCCCTTTCTTTTTAGTTTTGTTTCTGTTCTGCTAGGATTACGTTAACTTTCCAGGCTTTCCGAACTGCGCTCTACATAGACACTGAATGGAAACGGAAAGCAGATATTGCTCTTGAGTGCCAACATACCACCGTAATTTGCCCTCAGTGTTTATGCTAATAAAAACGTATAGGAACTATTAAGTAAGCGTTTATCAAAGCCATTTAGGTTCAAACGGGTATCTGCCACTGTATATCCCGATCAAATATCGGCAAGACAACGACCTCGTAGATCAATGTTTATTGCGTTTGCCACTGATCAGAGATGTCGCGAGTTCGAGGCTCAGGTTTGACACCACTTGGGGCTGGGTATGACTAGCTGACGACGGATAATAAGCCAGAAATGGCCATCTTAGTCTTCCTTGTTTTTGTTGGTAATGTCCTTCTGCCTATATCTTTAGCCGCCTTTCGGT